TGTGTGGGAGAAAAGACCTGGCAATCTGCTCCTGTAAAGATTTCAGCCTTGGAAACCCTGTGGGGCAGTTATGCTCTGTCGTATAGAGTCACTGTGAGTCTCAGTTGACTCGACGGCACACAACAATAACAACAACAAATTGAATTAAATGCCTCACAGATCCCCTCACTCTCAAGTAACTTAGCGCTTTTCCCTTCATTCCAGTGGCTCTTACTATCCTGATTTCTCTACAGAAACTTTTCTGACTAACTGGAAAAAAGGCAGTACATTTCTCTGTTTCCCTTAATGCAAGCATGAATTAATAAACCACACTCTACTATTCTAAAGTAGACGCAGCTACTTAGAGTTTAAAAAAACTTGACTTGTGAATATACCATACATATTAACTGCTAGTTTTGTATTCCCTCCTTCCGCAGTCATAATAAACCACCCCCAGTAGGGTCACTATGAGTCAGAATCGACTTGATGGCAGTGAGTTTGGTTTTTGGTTTTAATGGTTATGTAGAAACCTTTTCTTGTTTTTCCTCTCCAACTCCTTTATTATTCAAGATGGTGGACTGGTTGAGTCCCCTCCTTTTCTTTCAGATTCACCATTTAAGTGTACTTCGTAGGTACTTATTAAGTTGCAGCTATCATGTGTCAGTTCTGAGAGCTTATTTATTGTCTCTAGTGCTTAAACCTTAAAGTAGTAGTATTTAGTTTAATGGAGAAGGGACTCAGATGAATGTAAGGTACTTGGAGGTCTTACTGTTCTTAAGTAGCCGAGGTAGGATTTGAGTTTTAAGTATTTTTCTGTTATAGTCTAGTAGGGTAATAGTAGATTAGTAAACTCCTGTGAGCAGGGATTGTTTTATTTGCCTTTGTATCTCAGCGCCTCTCAATCCCTTGTACTTAGCAGAAGCTTAAAGGTTTATTCATTCCCATTTTAAAGATACACTTATTTGAAGCCCTTGCCATTCTTTCTTAAGCAAGAATGACTGCTTTTATAAGCAAGGGTAACCTCTATTCCAGTTTATTGTAGAGTTGTTTAGTTTGTACTGTTCTTGGTGAGTTTAACTTGCCACAGTTTCTTCTAACACCTAGTTGTGTCCTTCTTGTCTAGTGTGTGTAGTTGTTCAGATTTGCAGCTCCGCATGTCATTACTTGCAGTCTGCAGGTCCGAATGTCATTACTGACAAGCTGCGTACAGGCTACTTAGTTTTGTAACACTTTTGTTTCCTTATTTGTAAAATAGGAAAAATATAATGGTTTATAAGGCTACCAGCACCTTTAAGTTTTGCTACTACGGTAAACAAATGAGTAAAGTGCTATGCAAATTGAATTTATTACTGTTGTTATCCAACTCCAAATTCATAATCTGAAGCTAAGCCAAGTCTCTGGAGGACCTCACATAAATAGAGTGCATAAAAAATGAGAGGGGACACACTGGGTAAAAAGAATTAACTTTAAATGCCAATTCTGAAAGCTGAAAACTTTCTGCAGATGCTGCATGGGATATAACTATTAGCTTTTTTTTTAAAACTTAATAACTATCATCTACTGTGAAAAGAATGCAGCTTACGTTCACTTTTTAGAGTGTCTATCAAATAGGTAGTAGGTAGCGATTACGCGAGTAAACATAATATCAGCTAGCTTTGGGGCTGTTCATGACTCTGGTCTGGGTTACTAAATTGGAAGCTTGTTCTCCAGTCTATCAAATGGCATTCATTGATGAGAACTCTGTGTAAATACTAACCTTTGTGGCATCTTCCTTTCTTTTGGGCATTTGACTAGGAAGAGGTGCTGCATCATAAAGTTACTTGAAGGAATATCCTTGTTATAAAGTTTTAAGAAAGAATTTTTAAATGTAGCTTAATATACAGTTCTGTTTTTCCTATATAGAGTTTGCCTGTAGAACTAAATATTTTTTTCACGTAAAATTCAAATGGAGTTTAATCCAAATAGTGAATAGTTTGTTAGACACTTTAGAGCTGTGAACAGAGTCAACATGAGTTTATTTTCAGCCTTGAAGATAATCCCTGAGCCTTTTAATCTTTGTTCTGTTGAATTTGAAGACATACATGTCACCTATTTTATTTATGTGCTTTAGAACTTATTATCAAAGGTTTTAGATGAAAAATCTTGGTGATTATTTTCACAGAAATGAAAGTCTGACCGTGGTTCCAAGAGTAGTAAAATGTGAGGAATGAACTCTCTGGTTTTGTTGATACCTGGCCCAGGGGGAGGTCCTGTATTCATCACAAGTTAACCTCATATTTACTTTCTGGGAATTCAAATTCCAAAGTTTAACTGAGTCGAATCTCTTTTCTTAAAGATCAGTTTATGCTTTAAAAACAGGCAGCACTTTGATATACAAGTGTCTTTTTACTTGCTACTGTTCCCTCTTAAATCACAAGAATTACCCACAAGTGGGCTGGTGGCTGATAATGGTGCTGGTTGAAAAGCTCAGATGTTGGGAGCATTATTACGGTTACTTTAGAGCCCTGGTGGCGCAGTGGTAAAGAGCTACAGCTGCTAACCAAAAAAGGTCGGCAGTTCTAATCCACCAGCTGCTCCTTGGAAACCCTTTGCGGCAGTTCTACTCTGTCACGTAGCGTCGCTATGAGTCGAAATCGACTCGATGGCAACAAGTTTGTTTGTTTTGTTTTTGGTGAATATAGGTCAGAATAACCAGTGTGTTTTACATTCATTGGAATTACTTAGCACTCCATGACATACAGCAGGCATTTAGTAACAGCAAGTGGGCAGGTGAGAAATACCAACCCTGTTTAATAGTATTCTTTGCTTTTTAAAGTGAGAGCTGCAGTATCACGCCATTCTCTTGTATCCACACTGTTTAGGGTCTGAGTGAAATGGCATTGAAGTGATGTTTGAAGTAGTAAAACTTCCTGGATGAATTCTAAAATAGACTGGCCTACTATTTAATTCTTTAATGTGGTGTAATTGTTCTGGTGAGCAGTACAACCCAGGGAGTGCTTTTAAAATGTGACTTCTGTTCCCGCGCCCTTGGAATTAGAATCTCTGCAGGAAGGGACCAGGCATTCATGTTTGACGTAGCTTCCCAAGCGACGTGATCCTTCACCTTCGACTAAAAACACTATTGTATATGTTTTCTTTAAAGCACAAATTCATTTTTGAAACTGTATTGCTAGAAATTAAGACTCATATGTCGACGGTGGTTTTTATGGTCAACTTTTCCCCCAGTATGTTACATCTTCTTTTACCACAAGTATTCTTTCTCTTCTTCTGACTGTTTATTGAAATAATAGATAGCAGTTAATAAGCACTGAGCCCTTGTTATGATAGGCATTCTTCTAACTGCTTTAAGTGGATTTTCTCATTTAATCCTCAGAAGAACTCTGTGAGGCAAGTTCTGTTACTGCCATTTGAATAGACTGAAGCACAGAAAGTACAACCTCTTGGGGTTGGTGTTGGAGTTGTGGTTCCAACTCAGCAGAGTGAGTGCTGTACACTTAGAGCTACTGTGCTAGCGCAGCCTGCGAATTGTTTACTGCAAAGTAAATAGTCGAAAAGAATCTCAGCAACAACGAAAGTCACTCCTTCATTTCTGAATTCAAGACCCCCAGTCTTCTTTCTCAAAGGCCATCGGTATGAGCAAAGTCTGTCTTACTAATTCTTCCATCAGGTTTTAGAGTGTTGACAATAATACCAGAATAGAAGTCTTTTTTATATATGTACACAACTCGGTAGTTTTATGCTGTTTTCCCCTAACATATCTTGGGAAGATCTTTCCATATCAGTACCTGTCTGTCTGTCTTTTAATGGTTACGTAGTATCCCCTCCTTATTTTTCTAAAATTGACGGTAATTACATTAGTAATTTGAACTTTCTAACCAAAGCGTATTTAGTTTGTTTATTGATGATGTGACCATTTGTGACAGAAAGAAACAATCCTTGTCTGCTTAATTGGGTCAACATGTAATCCAAAAGAAAAACCCACTTCCTGTTACAGTGTATCAAATCTCTTAAAACAAAATTCATTAATAGATTCAGCAATGCTAAATTTCCATTCTCTTTGGCACCAATTTCTGTAATGTCATACGATCATTCCTTCTCTTTCCTCTCCAGTAAATAGAAGTAAAGAACTCTACTTCGAGTTTGGAGGCTTAAAGAATTGTGAAGGATTTGATTTATACTTGCTGTAAATATTTCTCTGATTGTAACATTGGCTTGTTTTATCAGTTAAACTACTGTACTTTGTTTTGAGTATCAGCATTTTATCTGTACAATAATTAAACTTATACAGAGAGTTCAAACTGCTTAAGGTACCGTCACATTTTCTTGTTGCTAACAACTCTGTTAGATAGGTTTTATTGGTTTTACAGAAGAGGTAAATGAAATCTAGAGATTACCTTTCTTGTCCAAGGTCACATGGCCAGCAGAGCAGGTGTTGAAATCCAGGATATCTGGGATCCTTGCTTAGTTGCGTACTTGAGCTGCTTTTCCTCATCTCTCCATTAAGATACTATAGTTTTCTTTGTATTTATTATTTCACGTGTTACTCACAGAAGTACTGTGAAATAGGCATGACATGTATTTTGCATTTATGGCTTCAGGGCTGTGATTTGTACAAAGGCAAACTTCTTTCATACCGTTCCTATCACAGAACTTAAGCCAAGGTTTTTTGACTTCAGGTACAGTGCCCTTCTCTGCACAATACTAGACATGTGGAAACAAAGACATTATTTTTACCTGTGCTCCGTCTTCTTTGAATTGAGAATTTCCTGGCTCTTTGTGAAAAGTTAGTTTTATGTTCTGGGTTTTGGATCACATGCGTTGAATTTGGTATATCTCTGATGTTTTAACACATTAATCAAGTAGTCTTCACGGTGTATTAAGACAGCGCCGCATTGGCTAAGGCTCTAAGATCAGATTGTTTGCATACAACTTCCCCATCATCTTCCATGCCCCGTTTCTCTCCTGTGCTGTGTCATGTACGTCTAATGAGTTTTATTTTTTATTGTGTGTTTTTCTTTCAGTGAATGGTAGTGTCTAGAAAGGGTATGTCCCTTCAGGAGAGAGGTGCCAATGTCCAACCGGCCTAGTAACAATCCAGGGGGGTCACTGCGACGTTCACAGAGGAACTCTGCCGGGGCCCAACCACAGGACGACTCGACAGGAGGAAGGTATGCATTCAACAGTGTTTTGAAAAGGGATTGGGAAGACAAGAAACTATATTTTAAAACCTCATTATAAGGACCAAAACTTGAATGGTTCACTGAAAAGGCTCGATTTTTTTTTTTTCCCTCAATTTTTGATCCAGGTAACACAAAACTGGAACTCAGAAGGCTTCGTAAATCATTCCTCAAAAATGCCAGGCTCAGAAAATAATCAGCCAATTTTCAGTCATTGACACTGTCACAACCATAATTTCAGGGTCGTTCGCGTATGGTGTGTCACGTTCCATTTGCCCTTCCTTTTTCTTCACCTCCCTAAATGCGTGCTGCAGTACCTCTTGCAACCATCTGTGCCTCTCCCTAGGCGTGTCTCGTCTTCATTATAGTTCAGTGAATGGACGCTTCGTTTGTTTTAAGAGGTTGATTTTTGACACCTACCTTTTGAGTTTTTTCTCATCATGTTTTTTGACAACATATGGATGGTGGCAGGATGGTGAGGCAGGCTGACTGTGTTTGCACATCAGTTATCCCATGACTTTTGTAGTGATCGGGTGGGTGTTCAGCTGGTTTTGTAGCTGGGATAGTTGTCCTTGAGCTACTATGAAGAATCAGATGCCTTCTCCTCTTGAATGTAAAAGCCGTGGTCTGATGGGAGGTAGCCAGGGACTGTCACTCTATTTCTAACATTCTCTGACTTCTGCTCACAAGGTCTAGTTCTCCAATCCAGGGATTAATGTTGATCATGCTTAATTTGTGAGAATTCAAATACAGTTCCCTGGTGCAACAATGTGATGCAGAATTATGTGCTGTACATGAATGTATTGCCTTGTAAATTATGAACATTTTGAAAATATCAATATAAAAAATAAATTGAAAGAGTTAGGTCATGTTGAAGCCAGGCTGTTTTTGTGGTTAAGCACATGGTCTTTGGACTAGGACAGCTTTATGTGTAGTTTCCACCTCTGTCATTACATAGCTATGTATCTTTTAAGTCTTTTAGAACACCTCAGTTTCCTAGTCCACAGAGGGGATAATATTAGTTTCAATATTACAGTATGTTAAGCTAAGCTCTTAGTGGTGTACTCACTACAGAGTTCTGTTCTGGAATTTTTTTTTGGCTTTTTACATTCAGGTTGTTCTCTGGAGGAACAAGGTTAACTTCATCTATGCTGCTGATTTAAAAACAAATCACTCCCTCCATTATAAAAGTGCTACATATTCATTTTATGAAAGAATTTTGAAAATACAGAAAAATATAAAGAAAAACATCACAACTCCACATCCCTGTTACCATTGGCATGTTTTTTCCTGGTCTTTTTTTCTGACTGCTTATATGTTTGTATATATGTGCATGTATGTGCATATAAGTAGCTTGTACCTTTTGAACAACTGCAATTTTATATTAATCCTTGAATTAGATTTGGACTCTTGCACATGAACTGGCCAACACTTTGGGCTCTTGCAAGGCTCATTGCTTTTAAATCAACAGTGAGGTCTCATCAGCACCATTATCTTTGCTCTATATCAGTGTTATATACAATTACTTAAATATTTTATTGCATGATATATTTTTAAAAAAATTAGTGGAAACAAATGGAAATGGTTAATACTAGTGATTAAGATGCAGTGGTTTGAATAACTTAATGAAGTGTGATAAAGATGGAACCTGAGTAGGTTTGTTGATGGCATAGTTAACTGCACTTAAGCCAGTCAACTCTATGCTCAATTGTGAAGGAAAAGAGTACCGTTTTTGAGTGTGTTTGGAGTGGCAGAAAACATACCAACGAACATAAAGGCAGAGTATAATTAGAGATTTTATGGCCTTTACCTAACTATCCCTCACTTTTTCATGAAGCAACCCATTTCAGTCTATTCGCTTTTATAGGCATCATATGTGTCATTTTCCATGTCATTAAATATTGCTTGAAAACATGACTTTAAAGACTTTGTCTCCAATTGTGTGGCTATAACATAGTTTGTAATAACTTTAAATACATAGATTTTTTTTCCTATTTATTTTTATGTGGTTAAGTACAATTAAGATCAGTACGTAGAAATTTAGAACTTTAGCCAAAAAGTCTTAGTTTGACTAAGAATGCAAATTAAAGGATTTTTTTTGCTGGTCTGAATTTCATACTGCCTTCTTAGAAAGATAGCTTGATTCTTTGGCTCAAGTTAGAATCTCAGGACTGCAAGAGACTTTGAAGGCTTTCTCATCAAACCCTGACTGTCTTTTGAAACCACTGTAGAGCGTGCCATGCCAGCAATTTATCTAATCTCTACAAAACCTTTCCAGTGATTTTTCTGGGTGTGAGAGGATAGGTGTTAATTGGGAAGAGAGTGATTTTACAACTGTTTTTTTTATTCTCTTCATCTGACTCCTGTCGCTCAGCTTTCCTAAGTAAAATGCTGTTATTATGGCTTTTGTTTTCTAAAAACAGTCAGCTTGGTCTTATAAGGTACTCATAGTGAAACAGTGATTCAAATAATATAATAAATAACAGCTGTTACAACAGCATGTTTTAAGTTTGCAAAATTATAAATACTCTTATCGTTGAGACCCATATTAACTGTAATCCCTACTTTATAAATGTTGAAACATGGTTCAACTTTATACCGAGTCAGGACTTGATTCCAGATCTCTCTACCAAAGCCAGTGCTCTTTTCATTACACCAGACTGTCTTTAATGCACAAACCACTTGATCCATATGATGCATATGGTGGAGGACTTTGAGGAGGGTATGAAATACTTAAAATCGAAGTGTGTTAACTCCTTCAGTTTAGCTCATTTTTCCTCCTAGAGTTTCTTGGATTCGTTTCTTTTGGATCCACTCGGTTTTCTTCCAAACTCGATTTTAACTATGTTTAAATAGCCTCTTTCTGGTGACTCTCCCTACCCTTCTCCCAAATCAGGGTCACTTACCTTTTCTAGAAGAGTCGTTTTCATCCTTAAGATAAAAGAAAATAGACTCTTTGGGATATATGTAGTGATGTCTCCTGGTTATCCCCTCTGCTCTTTTCCACACTTCCTTCATCTCTGTCCGTAAATAAACTAGCCATCTTACTCCTCTTCTGTTAACTTTTTTCTTTCCTTTCCTTCTATAATTTTTTGGACTATAGCTGATCTGTTCCTCTTTCTGTTCTCTTCTTTAGGAAATCACTCCCTTCCACTGCATCTCTGTTGGCTTGCTCTCAGGGACACTTCCTAGCCTTTTCTACTTCTAGCACAGGTATTTTTAGGCTACCCCTCCCTTGACCATGCAGTAGCATTTTCGTTACACCGTGTGCTTTTTCCTGTTTTCCTCAAATGGCAATGGTGGGATTGTACTAAAATTTGATTAGCAATTTTGCTTAAGATTGCTTTAATGATTGCTTTAACATCGTTTTCGTTACAAGAGCATTGCATGTTCAGAACAGAAAATTGGAAAGCTTTGGGAAAATTAAAGAAAAATAAGATAATTTTAATACTGCCACCCAAAGATAACCATGGTTGATATTTCTACTGTATATTCATCTAGCCTTTCTCTATGTATATTCCCAATGTAAAAATAATAGAGATAATACAGTAACCGACTGTTATCAAAGGTTGTGAGCATTTTCTGGAATTCTAAAACATTCTTCCACAAGAAAATTTTATATGATGCCATGATTTTCTTTGATATCAAAGCCCATGATTTAAACAATTTAGGCCTCTAGTGTTTCTTCTCAATTTTTTTTTTTTTGCTGTAAATAAATATTGCTGTGCGTATCACATATGATTATGCTTTTATCCAGAAAGTGGGTTTATAGGATCTAAGAGTATGAATATTTTGAAAGTTTTTAACAGATTGTCAGATTGCCCATCAGAGAGATTGGACCAATTTGTATTCCTAGCAGTGCTCTGTGAGAGCACCCATTTCTTCCAATCCTGCTCAGTATGGCATACCAGCTTTTAAATAAGAGTCTCCAGAAAAAAAGATTCCTTCCATTAAAGTTAGCATTTCTTTTGCTATTATAGAGTTGAAGACCTTTCCACATGTTAGCCACTTTTATTTACTTATTTAGTAAATTTTTATTTTGAAGTATGTATAACATTTTTAGTTATTTTATGAGTTGTCTGTTAATGTCCTTTGTCTGTATTAATGTTGGGGTTGCATGTTCTTTTATTAGACCCCTTATGGAAAAGGTATCAATACATTGACATGGACAAATATTTTATTACTTGTTATGTTTTGTTTTAATTTATAGAAATTTTTTAAATTACATAATCAAGTCTTTGTTTCTTTTCTTCCTTTGCCTTCTCCATCCCCCAAGTAATTTTTTTGCCTCAATTCTGTGTTTCCATTTTTACATTTGACTATAATCAATCAGAAATTTTTTAATGGTGTGAGGAAATGTTTGAGTCCAACCCACCCACTCCTGCCCTCATTTAAAAAATTGTGTTTAAACGTTTGATTATTTAGTAAAAACTGAATTATAAGGACTGCAGGTTATAGCTTTTTAATATTTTCAGATCTGGAATTTAACCAGCATTAAATATATAGAAGGAAATAGACTTGAATTTTGCTTAAATAATTAGTTCAAAGGGACAGGGCACAGGAAAGTCAGAAAAGTATATGAAGAAAATAAATACCATTCAGAGATAAATCTGGTAACATTTTGATTTTTATTTTATCTATGAAGTACAGTTTAGAATGTAGTTGATTGTACTGTGAAATCCTGTTTTTTTCTTCACTCAACATTATTTTCCCAAGTCATTATGATTTTCGGGGTAATTATATACTAAACCCTGGTGGCGTAGTGGTTAAGAGTTCGGCTGCTAACCAAAAGGTCGACAGTTCAAATCCACCAGGCGCTCCTTGGAAACCCTGTGGGGCAGTTCTGCTCTGTCATATGGGTTAGAATCGACTCGACAGCAACAAGTTGTTTTTGTTTTTTTTTTTTTTAAAATATACTAATGGCTACATAATTTACTGCATGAATATATAATATTTTCCGTGGTTATTTTTCAGTTTTTGGATAGTTGCTT